TAGTATATAACTAATTAATGCTGTTTTTAATTGGAAAACAAATCTAAATAAAGTCGTAGCATGACTGCTGAATTTTTTAAAAAAAAAAAAATAACATTTCTAGCCTTATTTGTTCTCAAGATTACAAGATCGTGAAATTTCATACTTACTTGTATGATTTAAATATTATTTTATTATATATATAATTAAATCTTTAATTTATTTTATTAGGCTATATTATACATTATAATACTAGAATGCTTGCAGAAATAATTAATATATTACGTCAATAGCCTTCAGATAAAGATTTGCTTTGTGCTGTTTATGAGAGGTATCAACAAGCTTAGGATTTGGCAAAAGTTCTTTTAATAGCTAATCAGGATAAAGAAGTTTTTGATTTTTTAAATATTTCTAATAGGCAATCGAACTAGTCAGATAATAAAAATGATGATTTTTTTGACTATTTTAATGATTTGATCCAAAGCAATAAAATATCAGATTTACATGCAATTGCTATAGCAGCAAATACTATAGCTGATTTTAATACTATAGAAATCTGTGATGATAATAATGAGAATGATTTAAGAGATGCATATTTTGAGTTAACTATTTTATTATCAGATGCAAAATTTTCAAACAATTATGATTTAGATACATGTAAAAACTTTTATACTGGCATTACTAAAGCAGGAACTTTAGATATTTTATACTTAGTTAATTTACGAAAAAATCATAAATGTTATAATAACCAGGATATGAAGTGAAAGTCTATTTGTAGAATTCAGAATTTTAATCATATAAATGCTGTTTCTTCAAATATAATAAGTAGTCTAATTGCAAATCATATATCAAATATTGAAATATCACGAACTGAGAAATTATGTAGAATTTAGTAGAAAAATCATTGTCATCTATCTGTAATATCAAGTACAAATAAAAAAGTTGGTAAGTAATAAATTATAATTAATAAATTATAAGAATAGTTCTAATACTTATTTAATAAATTATTTTAAAATTTAGATCTAAATGGAATAACTGTTACTAATATCAGTGAACATAATCCTCTTTGCAAGCATAGTTATAGATTTTCTTATATTAATCATGAAGTTTGTCTTGTACAAATTTTAGCACTATATCAGAAGAATTCTAATTACTATTCTTATGTGCATGGTGATGTAATTAATATAGATTCATTATCTTACTTATCAGTGAAGGTTTTTTTTCCACTTCGAAATAATATTTTTTCACTTCTAGCTAATTCTAGATATATGGTTTTTAGTCATATTAGTACTAAGTTTTTTCATTTATTTTCTTGGATTTGATGATTTTATTCATGTTGATAAGTAGTATAATTTGATAACTCTTTTTAGGAGAGCTTTAGAGTTATATAGGTTTTTTAATGAATACTCTACAAAGAATTTGTTACAAATTATTGTTTATTCTAAAATAAAAAAGAATTAGATTTAATAAATAATACATAATAAATCAATAGAATGATTTTCTATTTCAATTCTGCTATTGTAACAGATTTTGATAGTTTAGTATGAGTTCAAAATATACTTTTTTTAATTATTATATTAGTTTAATTTAATTATTTGCCAATTAATATACTTAATTTAAGGTAAGCTATTATCTTATATTTAATTTTTTATTCATGACCATTTTACCAAATTTTTTTTTTTTAAAAATTTATAAATTGAAATAGTTAAAATACTGTTAAAATACTTCTCTAATTTTACTTGAATTAATTCGAATATCTATATAATGAATTCTGGATATAATGAACTCAAAATTCATAGTAATTTTCTATAATAAACTTTTTCTTCCAGAACTATTATTATAGAAATAGTTGACTATAATTTATTCTGTTTGCTAAACAAAATACTATTTTATAGCAAATTATTATACTTTACTAAACAAAATATTATAATAATGGGATTGATACATTCTCTCGCCTGACCATCTTGTAAGGACTGAGAGTATTTTCAAAAACAGACAAAATAAGCTCTATTAAGAACTTTACTAAATCTAAAAACAGTAACAGAACAGAGGTTCCTCCTCTAGTTCACAGAAAACACAAAACTCTTGCTTTAGAGGTTTCTAAAAGCAAGAAAATTAAACTTGTAGAAAATTTTTCCGAAGAAACACAACTCGAAAAAATCAAAAATAATTCTCCTCCTATAGGCAAAAAGGATATGGCAACAAAAAATACTCCTTTAGCCTTAGCTAGTACATCACAACAAAATATAGCTAATAATACTACTTCCAGTTGGGACGAACAAGTTTCACAAGAAAGTAAAAAAAGTAGTCTTGAAAAACAAGCAACTCTAACAACAATACTGTCACGTCTAGCTCTAAGACGTGTAGTAAAAAAGAAAACAAAATAAATAACAACATAGCAAAAACAACATACGCTTCATTACATGACTCATTATCAACAAGCTCTAAGGCTACTTTTGTAAACAACAACAACAACACGTTAAGCAGACCATAGTCAAGTTTATTTGCAAAAGTCAAAAGAGGACAGTCTATATTTTTCTCTTTTTCACTAAAGAACAATCTAAAGTCAAAGAATAAGAATGCTCTTATCTTAGATATTCATAATCTCAATAGCTCTCTAAATGAAATTATGATTTCTTTCTATAACTCAGTAGGACGTAACATAATTGCTGCTAAGCTACATATTAACAAAGATATATATTCTCATTTAGAACTAATCTTCACAGATAAAGAAAACCTCAAATACTACACTACCAAAGGAGTTGAGATCTTTAATAAGACCTACTATGGATATATCCCAACTGATATAAGAAGGTCTTTTCTCTCAGTTAAAATCAGAAACATCTCTCTAAGTGACAAAGATACAATTTCAGAAGAAATTAAAGAAGCCTTTGAAGATATCAGTCAAATTGCTTCTATTAAACCTTTATTAATCGAAGGTATACTATATCTAACTGATTAGTAGATTATTACCTTCGAAACCACTGAAGATCCTGACCTTAAAGAAAGAATTCCTCGATTCTATATTCTTATGGATAACAAAATCGTTACAGAATAGTATTCTGCTCCAAAACTTTGCTACTTCTGTGACAAAGAAGGTTATATCAAAAAAGATTGTAACCAGTATAAAGAAGCCTCTCTACTTTGACAACAACATAAAGAATTCTTAGCTAATAAGAAGAAAGGAAAAAATATACAACCAGAAATAGAAACTGAAGATTCTAGTTCTCAGAGTAATAACACAAAAAATGCAATAGACAAAGAATCTCAAACCAAAGAAACTCCTGCTCCTGACTCAATATCATCTGAAGATGAAGTTATGAACATCCCATTAACAGATGCTCAAAATTTAGAAATTACAATAGATAACACCGAAAAAGAAAATATTACTCCTGCAGATATGACAATAGATCTCAATGCAGAAGCAAAAAAACTTAAGATTACAAATTCTCCAATTGTCCTTATCTCAAATGATAATAATTCGCAACCTCACACAGATGAGATGGATGAAGGTTTTATAGTAGTTATGTCTAAAAAAAGAAAAGATAAGAAAGAATATACAAATCAGAAATCAGAACTTATCAGATCTGCTCCTTACAGAAAAGTATGTAATAGGGTACAAAATTCTCTGATCTAAGTCTGTACTATATTATGACCAGA